ATTAATTTAAGAGGAGTTGGTTAGCAGGACTTCGGAGGAGTTGGAGACAGGAGAAAGGGAATACTCCTAACATCAATCTTAGGCTTCTACTTGAGTATGTTAAGTGTGCACACCCACATGCAAGCACATACATACACATACATGCAAACACATACAAGCACACACAAAAAGAAAAAATGTTAAAACTCCATGCCAAGTTCTCACCATGTAGAGAACTTGACAGAAACCTAACAAGGTCTGAGTTCTAAATGCAACCAGCCTCATACAAGTGGCATTGCAGTAGTATTTTCCGGACTGTGAGTTGGGTCGATTCAGTGACCAGCTTGAATGGAAAGGACTAGATAGTTAACACTGAACTTGGGCAAATGTGGTTTCCCTTGTGTGTGTGTGGTTCTACACCACACTTAATATACAACAGGGCAGGAAATTCATTATTTCTCCTAGGATGATATCGCAAGGTTAAAAGCATTAAATGAGGATAGATGCTACTGTTTCCTCATCTCTTAGGTATAAATTATTTCTCTGTTTCAAAGAACAGGCTCACATAAAATAATATCACATTTTTTTCAAATAGAAATGTTGTATTAATAGGCTATTTTACTAACTTTTTATTGCCTTAGTTAAATGGTTTTCTGATACGTGTGCTCACAACATAAAGTCAACACGGGAAAAACTTGGACATACATTATCAAAGACAATTCTCAAAGTGTTATGGTAATGAATACAGCTCAAAACAGGAAAAGTATGCATTTCTTGAAATTTTGTAATCTTTATGGTGCTACTCTAACAGCTTCTAAGAGAAAGGACAGCATCTCTGTTACCATGGAAACCTTATGAAAGAATCATCACATAGGACAATGACCAAAAGAAGGAAACTATTTTTTCCTGGCTGTTGCCTCTGGAGGCTAGATCAAGAACATTGGCTCTCTCGTTGGCTCGGCCCTTCTAATTATTCTTTTCTTCCCACTTGCAGCATGGAGCCTGCACTCCGGCTCAGAGCGTTGCCAACAATCCCAAACTATTCTGCTCTATGCATTATCTGTCTACAATGCAGTAGCACAACTAGGAAACTGCCAAAAGCCAAAAGGAAAGGTAACCTTCCCAACTCTCCCACACAAGCCCTTCCCAAGGGAACTAAAGATGCTAAACAAGATGGAGAAGGTGCGTCTTCTCTGAATTTAAAGACCCTTCGACGAGGAATTTGATTCTTATTCCAATGTGTTCTAAAAGCACTGCTGGAGAAATGCAGAACAAGAATATTTGTGAGGATCAGTAACATCGGGACTGTAATATTTTATTTTTAAAATGACATGCATTGACCCTCAGAGCAGCTTGCTTGGGGGTTTGGTTTTTTAAGGCGCGCTGGAGCTTTTTTTATTTTTTTCCCTTTTCTTCCTTTTGTTTTGCTTTGTTTTTGTTCTTTTGGTTTTGTTTTGTTGGGTAGCCCATGTTCTCTGGCTAAGCTTAATCAGGCTCACAGAGATAAAACATCTACTTAGGTGTGAGAGGGCCCAGCCTGACACTCAGAAGATGTCCTGGCTCTCCTGAGACTGCTGTGTAAATGGTGAAGAAGTAAGCACACACATGGCCCTGACTCTCTTTCAACTGATGCCAACCACTGTATGAAGCACAAGAACAGAGGAGCGTGTACAAAAGGCACAGAGAGCTCTGGAGGGCTTTAATAAGTGGGTGAGCAAAAATATGTGAGTCACTGCCTATGGAGCCTGTCCCAGAGAAACAGAATCAAACAGACTGAGAAAGGGAGCTGCAATCACCTGGATTCTGGCAGCCTTCCACGAGGCATTCGCTAACTTTGATTTTTGTTTAAACCATGTGGGCTGCGTCACAGAGAAAGCATCTCTCTAGTAAGCCCTAGCTACCCCTTGATGGCATCTGTAACAAAGGACACATTCCGTTGGAAGAGCTCTGCAGGATCCACACCTGTGAAGACTGTGGGCAGCACTGACCCCAGAGGCCAAGGCTTAGAAGGGTTAGATTACTTCCTCCAGTGACGCCGTGGGTGCCAGTGTGTAGATGAGAAAAGGAGCTAACCAGTTTTACCTAAGACAAATGTGTCTATCATCATACTCCAGCTCTCCTGCTGGACCACTGAGCCACATCCTCAACCTTGACCACAACCATCTCCTCCTCCTCCTCCTCCTCCTCCTCCTCCTCCTCCTCTTCTCCTTCTTCCCCTTCTCCTTCTTCTTTTCTTGGCAATACTGGTGGCTCAGTCTGCGGCCTCAGGCTTGCTAGGGAAGTGCGTCCACTAATCTTATTTCCAGTCATTCATGCTTGCTTGCACGTGCGTATGTATTTATGCTCTTGCTAGCCTAGAGTTGGTGCTGTAGCTCAGGCAGGCCTTAAGCGCGTGCACCTGCTTCCTGAGTCCCCTAAGTAGCTGAGGTCATAAGCAGGTCTACACCACCAGGCTCAGCTACTAACAGATTTTTTAAGGCAAGGTTCTTTATTCCTCAGGATTAAAGCTTTACTGATACACCAACCAAGGATCAGAGACTAAGTGTACACTGTTTCATGCTCACTCATCAATTCAATATTAAAAATAATTTTTATGTGCCAGGTTTGAATGTCTACTGGTACATGTTACAAGCACAAATTTTAAGTGGTTTTATCCATTATTTTGCTTCATGTACAATCACGAATTATACAGTCATTTGTACGAAAGGCCGTACTTAAGAGGCTTCATTACAAAAATAAACACTACACACTGAAAGTTTAGGTATTCTAAGTTACATACTTATTGTAAAGAATAAGGAAACTGACTTCTATACCTACTGTGAGCCAAATATAATTATATTATAAGTATATCCTTTATAATAATAAAAACCATAACTGAGATTAAAAAAAATTTAAGATTTTGCAACCTAGGCAGCTCCAAATACCGCTCACCATAGTGAGAAATGAAAGTCCACACACAAGTATCCTAGCAAAATTTTCATCACATACCCGCCTAACAGATGGGTTCTCAAACGACTAAGCATTCCACAAGCCAAATGCTCAAAACTTAATAATAAAAGACCGTTAACACTCTTGAGTATGTGATATTGCATGAATGCGAACCTCAGCAACAGTCTGGGCAGGAACTCCCTTTGTGCTCTCCCCTCACCGTAGCTGGCACCTCCCTTTCCCAAACATGCTCACCTCCTTACCTCCTACTCTGCATCCCACGCCTCCAAGTCCCGCAGCAAGCCCCAGACACTAGACACTTGGCTGACCATATCGGGGTGCCATCCCAGGAAATCCCAGAGAGGTTTTTAAGCTCTGCCCACAGCTTGTAAAGAAAGGCCAGAGAAAAGCTAATCGATGTCAGCTGTGACCTGGCGCATGCGGCGAGCTAGAAAATAAATGTCATCCATAATCTGTATAATTTAACACTTGCAAAAAAAACAACCTCTGGGACTGACTCCAAGCGGGAGAACGTGCCTGGGTGGGTCTGTGGTTCCTGCACCAGGTGTCAAGACTGGTCAGAAGGCTATCCTCTCCAGTCCTCATCAGCTCAGACAAGAAATGCCTCCTTCCTTGCTATGGTTACCTGATCCCCCAAAGGAGGAGGGAAAGGAGAGGAAAATAACCCCTTTCTACACCTTTCTGGGTGAGCCCTAAGGCTCAGAAGCTGGAAACCCTCCTCAAAGGTGGGTACACGACAAACTATTGTCTAGCTAACCAGTCACAGCCCGAAAGAAGCCCCTGTAAAACACGACTTCAGTAGATAAAGTCCCTAGTCAAAGTGGGGGTGGGGGTGGACGGGGGGCTGGATCTCCTGTGAGTCCCTTGAAAGGTTTTCCAGATTTTTTTTTTTTTTAATTACAGGAGAATGAATTCAGAACATAAACACAGCTCTGTATCCCATAAATTACTAGGTCCGTCCACAATAAAAAGAAGAACGCCAATCGGCAGGACGGGGCATTATAGGAAATGAAGATTGTCAGTAAAATCCATAATGCTTTCTTTCTGTTAGACCTTCTGGGAGGTTATAATTGCATTTGGCCGCTTCAGGCTTGTCATTGAGCCTGGCTTCTTAATAGTCTCAACCCTAAAAGGAGTGACTGTCAAGGGGGGACCCAGCTGAAACCAAACAACAAAAACGGGAACTGTAATCCTCCCGAAAAGGGAGGAGGGAAGGGAAGGGAGCCTCCTGTATTCATCAGTCAACATTAATGTCCTTTGTTGTTCACCTTTGCACACAACAGTGAACGCTATCCCGTTCCTCCTTCTCCCGAACCAGGGCCAGGGCAGTCCCCTCCGAAAGGCTGCCGCGCAGCCTCCAAGAGCCAAGCTTTCTGACCCCCTCCTCCCGCACACTTTCCAGCCGGCCCTCGCGACCCCCACGGCGCTCAGCCCCTGCTGGGAAAGGCGGCCAGAAGTACCAACGCTGCCGAAATCTCGGTTCCCCTCCAAGGACCAAAGAGCGCAGCAGCACAGATGTTGAAATTTACCAACCCCCGCCCGCAACACACACCCCAGACACCCGGGAGGAGAGGGAGGAAGGAGGCTGCGTCCCGACTCCGTCTGTCGCGGGGGCTCCCGGTGCCACCTTCCGCCGACCCCGGCCGCAGGGGCTCCGCGCCCCCCGACTGCTCGGGGCTGTCCCGGCGGCCAGCTGGCGGTCTCCCCATCACCCCGGGAAATCCTTGCAGCCCACTGCCGTCTCTCTGCCGCTGTGGGCCAGCAGAGGCTGGAGGGCGAGAAACCCTGCTGGCTTCGCCTGCCAACTTGACACGCAACACGCCCGCGGCCGCTCCAAACTCCGCCAGCAGAGCCCGGAGCGGCTGTCCCGACGCTCCGGGACCGGGTTCGAGGCGCCCAGAGCGCGCGGCGGGGAGCGAGACCCCAGCGCGCGTCCCTTGGCCGGAGGCCGGTGCGGCCAAGCCCGGGACCCGCGGCGCTGTGCCAAGACCTGGCATTTGCAGCCCGGCGCGGAGCGAGCTACGCGGGGGCAAGGACCGGAGCGTGGCAAAAGTTGGCCCGCGAGCACTCACCCACGCCGTATTTCTCATGCTCCGTAGGTATCCACATGGCTCTCCCGGGCTCCGAGGGGCTCCGGGCTGTGCAGCCCCCGCGCCCCTCCGGCGGCTCACAACAATGCACGGCTCCCGAAGAGCAGCTGCGGCGCCGGAGCGCGGCGGATCGCGCGGGCTGCGGCGCTGGGCAGCGGCTGCGCCCGGGGCTCGCGAGCGGCCACTGACACCGCTCGGCAGAGGTTGCGCCGCCCGCCGCTCTGCCGGCCGCGGCTCCTCACAGCCCTGCGACGCGCTCCCGTGGACCCGGCGGCGCAGTCATTGTTCTGATTCACTGAACTAAGCGAACACGCCGGGGCACTCGCGGGCGCACCCCCGCCCGTCAGCGGCTCCTCCAGGGCCGCCTTCCCACCGCCTCGCAGCATGCTGGGAGTTGTAGTTCTTGCTCTCCCGGCACCGGAAGGGGGCGCGGCTCCAGCAGTTAGGGGCGGGGCAACTAGGTATGCTCGCCGCATTTTATTGGTCCAGAGTGTGACGGCAGACCGTAGGCGTGTAGGAACGCCCTTAATGGGTCGGCGTTCGACCTCAGGAGCGTTTCTATTGGTGCTTCCCCGCTCCGCTCCGCCCTCACGGCCCGCCCCTTTCTGCTGGTCCAGGTAATGGCTGCTACAGAGGCCCAAGGGCTCGGTGCGGACCCGCTGGAGGATGCTGCAGGAGTCCGCAGCGGAATCGGGTACGTGGGTCATGAAGGTGAGTGCGCTGCGCCTTGAGTGCGGGTGGCCCGTCTTCCTTTTTCTGTGCCGCTCGGACCTTAGGAGCCGGTCAGCTCTGAGACCACCCTGGTGCCAGGCGGAGAGGGGCTGACGCGGTTGCTTGGCTGAGGCCGGCTTGGATGGGAGGGGGCAATAGGAAGAACTGCCTTCCCGCAGGCCAGGAAAGCCCCCTTTGCTATCTTCCGGGTGGGAATTCCACGCTTTGCACTCGCTACCGAGTGGGTGTGGGTCAGGTCTGGGTTGCACGTGTGTGGTTGTGATGCTGGGATCAGCAGCTGTTTCCTGGCCAGTACCCTTCGCCCTCCTCAGTTTGCTGAGTTTAGCTTTTGGAAAGGTGTCTTATTTAGTTTGGGGCGGGTTTCCAAGTTGGAGACTGGTCGGGGCTCTCCCGTACTTGTTTGCCGGTCGCTCCTTGGAGTACTCTCCAAAGGGAAAGGGTGTGCGCATCTACGGTGTCCTTTGGCTCTCAGGCGCTCCATAATTGAATGTGGACCCTGGGAGATCATAAGTCCTAAGCTCTCAAAGAAGGAGAAAAGAGAATTAAATGCACTCCAGCCTTCACAGAGTACTTAAAAGGGGGTTTGAAAATCATCACAGCTACTTTGTATCTACCTGACTTTGATTTTTCCTTCAGTTCCACTGTAGAGATCAAAAATCCAACTTTGAAAGACACAAGTAGACTGCCTTTTTCTTTTGGTCCCTCCGCTCCCCACCCTTTTTGTTTAAATGTATAATTTAGCACACCAACTTCTCTTTATGTAATGGGCATGATTTGGGGGTTAGCTTTGGCTCTCGGGCCTTGCTGCTTTTTCCTTTCGTCTTCAGAGCTAAATCGAGATCTGGTACAAAGTTTTAATCTCAGTAGCAGAGAAATGAACTGCAGCATCTTCCCACTTCCCATGAGTGACATTCCCATCATATAAGTGACCTGTCATTGGGTTAGCCGTATATTCCATTCTTATGTTACAGGCTTTTGCTCATACCAAAATTCCAGAGACGTACCATCTTAAAATAGAAAGCTGGAAACTTTGAAACTTTTTCTCAGGATTAACTCATTCGAATATTTGCAAATACCTCCAAAGCATAAAACATTAAAAAGTTATTAGTTATCTTACAATTCATTATAAATATTTTAAACAGAGGTTTAAATATTAAATATTTTAAACAGAGTTTATTCAGAGGTATTTAGATTAAAAAAGAAGCTGAGTATGGTGGCTCACACCCTTAATCCCAGCACTTGGGAGGCAGAGGCAGTCGGATCTCTGTGAGTTCAAGGCCAGCCTGAACTACAAAGCTAGTTTCAGGACAGCCAAGGCTACATACAGAGAAACCCTGTCTCAAAAGAAAAAAAAAAACAAAAAACAAGATTAAAAACGATAATAGTAAAGCCCCTCCACTACACAGCCCCACTGAAAAAGTTATAAGTTTGATATATATTTTCTAACATATTCCTTGATAATATACTTTGTATGATTCTTTTCTTAATAAAGGGGATAATTCTGGTAAACTCAAATATCTACAACTTTCCTCTTTCTCTTGTTTATCAATATATACTTCTACATCAGAACATTTTTGTTTATTTTTTAGTGACTGTACTCATAATCCATAGTACAGATTTTCCATACTCTAGCCACTCCCCTGTTAACAAATTATAAAGTGTTTCTGCTTTTCAGTAGTGTTACAGAGAATGGAATATGTTATGTGTGTGTATGTTTATGTACTCTTCCTTGCCCAATGGAGTTGGTGTGTCAAAGGTTATTATGCTTGTGTAAATTTTCTATAGGTGCCAGTTTTTCCTCTTAAAAATACTCATCATGCATATTTCTTAGTAATATTTGAGTGACCTTTACCCAATATTTTCACCAAATATGAGGGAATTATTCATCCAGAACCAGTGCTGTAATTTGGAAGGACTGGATTAAGTAACTAGTGAAAGCTTGATTTTAGCCTCCAACTTATTTTCAACAAAAGTGTTGAGCAGCAGTGAGAATGCAGTATTTGTAACAAAAGCATCCCTTTCCCTGCTTCAGAACTGCCCGGTATTATTGATTTGTAACAGTCACTGGGAGAGCTTAATGAATGATTTTTCTGTCATTTTTAGCAAGTAAATTTGTCAATTAAAATTCCCCTTTTATAATGTAACATTCTATGACTTTATCAGAATTCTCTTTAAACCCTGCAAAATAGGACACGCATTTTAGGTGGGAATAATTGCATTAGGAGTATATTTCTTCTCAGGCAGGCACTTAAGTTATCAAGCATGTCTTTCTCTGTAAAATCACACACCTTTTTAATTTCTGTAAAACTGCCTCTTTTCAGAGGTTTCCTCTAGTTCTAATTAAAATGTCAATCTGTGTGTGTAATATCCCAAGACAGAAGGGCCTGTGGAGCCGTTTAATAGAAATCTTTGCAAGTCTATAAAATCTCTGCTAGAAGGAGTCACTAAGGGAGCGCAGGAGACATAGACTGCTGCCTCGCTGGGCCACTGTGCTGTCCTTTTAGTCCATTCCTCCCCAAGTCCCTACATTGGTTGGTTCTCGGCAAAATTGTCTTACCTTTGAGGAAACCCAAAAAGTCTACTGTGTTGGCAATACGGATAAAGAAATGGCACTGAGTGTGCAACCATCCTGCTTGCTCGTTCTCCAGGGCACACGTTACCCCTAGGGTGTTGTGAGAAACTCTGGATGCTGTGCTGAGGTGAGGGCAGTAGGTGCCGGTGAGGTTCATGTGCAGAAGAATCTAAATGACACGGTCGGACCAAGACTTATCCCTGTTTGCTGTTCATTGGAACAGAAACTATTTCATACTATTTCCTAAAATTAAAAAAAAAAAAAAGAAAGAAAGAAAGAAAAAGAAATAGGGTTTGGTTGGATGGCTTAGTGATTAAGAGCACTTGCTCTGCAAGCATGAGAACCTGAGTTTAAATCCCCAGTCCCCACGTAAAGGCCAAGTGTGGCCCCATGTGCCTGAAGCCCAAGCTTTGTGAGGTAGAAGCAGGTGGATCCCAGGTGCTCCTTGGCCAGCCTATCTAGCCAAAGCCCTGAGCTTCAGGTTCAGTGAGTGTCTGAGGCAAATAAGGTAGGGCATGAGAAAGGAAGATACCTGATGTTCTCCTCTGGCTTGCCCATTCGGGTATACAGGTGCTCACACCACACACACACACACACACACACACACAAGCATACCAGACAGCAAATAAATTGAACATGTCCCACACTTGACTGCTATGTGTTGCTATTTATTCTAATGCAGTTTTTAATAAGGAATCAATTAGATTGGAACCTACAGTTTGGTAATTGACACTTTCAGGACGATTCTGTGGCCAGCATGTTTACCTGTATTATAAGGTTTTGGTAGTCACCTCGGTTGTCTTCGCCAAATGAATAATAGATGATGGCAGCAGTGTTTGGATTTATGGTGCTTGTCCTTCGGAGACCTCATTGATCTCATTAGTATGTCTGTGGAAGAGGTGGTGGAGAGTAGCAAGTGCAAACTTCTTGCTCTTCTACTTCACATTCTGAGAAAAAGCATCAAGCATAAGCTAAAAACCAAGGGAGTGTTGTGGAGTCCCTTCTTGCCCACAGGCCCCGAATTTGATCAGTCACCGAGTCCTGCTTCTCTGTCCCTGGAGTATCAATGGAATCCACCCTTGTGTTCATCTCTGCAACCACTGTTTTCATTCTAACCCCCACCATCATGACTGATTACTTATCTGTGTCTTGCACCTCCCAGTCTGTGCTCCAGAAAGAAAACCAAGACCTTGTTGGACTTGTTCTGTCTGCCTGATCCTGGCACCATGTTAATGTTTAATAAATGCTTGACCTAAACAGTATTCTAGGCTTCTCAATGGGAAAACCTTCCTCTTGACCTCTCAGACACGTACTTTTACCCGCCTTTAATGTATATTTGAAAGCAAATGTGTTTTGGGGGTTCCACTGGAACTTCTGTAGGTAATATTAATTCTGCTCTTCAGCCTCATCTTCAGTCAGCCTCTTCCATGCTCATATCTTCATTCTCATGTCTCTTATCAGACTGTAGTTACTTGTTGGCATCTGCACGTACTAAAGCCAAGGCTGATTTACTGTATATCCATCGCCTGTCAAAGCTCCATGCATTAAGGTGTAACAGTTTAAATGTTTAGAATATTTGGGAAGCCTACTCAAGGTATTTAGCATGGCTGCCACTTTAAGCAGAAAAATGGAAATGGAATAATAAAGAGAACTAGGGAAAAAAAAAGAACTAGGAAACATTTTTTTATGTTTGAGAAAGGTATGCATACCAACTGGAAATGTAAAGCATCATCAGAAGGTATTTTGTCAGAACTCATCTGCATTTTATGTTGTTTTTCTGCTCTTTTAAAAAAAAATGATCTTGTATCCTTTAGATAAGGATTACATTTTTAGAGAATACTTTAGGTCTAGCCTTTGAACCTGGATTTTGTAAATGAATGACCTGCCTCATGACCCTTGAACTCAGCCTTCCATCATGTGTGTGGCTGGTA